GTTGTTTTGTCTCCCCGTTGGCATCCTTCTTCGCACTACCCACCCAGGGTTGTAAAATACTTACCTTCCTGGAGGTAAGTTTATGTACATGTAGGTATAATGTAGTAATGGGATCGTCATATTGGATAAAAACAATTATTACAACAATTGGACCAAAACTGAGGCCAGTATAGTAAAGAGTATAAAATATATTTTTAAAAAAATATTTCACGCTCTTGACATGAAAACATGAGAATAACGTACAGTAATAAAGCTAACATATCGGAACAATACAAACAATCCAAATAGAAAGCAAAGCAAACACGGACCCCTTAAAATAACAGAAGTGGGTTCAGATCAGGTGCCATAGAGGAGTATAAGTATACACTGTCGATGGGTCACATATGTCGTATGTTCCTTGTTATAATCAGGCAAATGGAAGTACGCTTACTTCTCATAATTTTTTTAATAGATTTATTTCTACTACATATAACAAGAAGTATGCGAGATTAGGATATAAACATGAGAGTTCCAATTTACTTCCTATTTAGGTTATTTCTATGTTTAAAACTGCATATTCTGAGACTAGTTATAGGAGACAGAAAAATCAAGTTCAAATTTCAACCATTTATTTGAATGAAAGTTGTTTTTATGTATTTGAATTATATTCATTTTCATTCTAATATCAAGAACTCTCAATCTAATGATTCTGTCTATGTTTTTTAATAAACCACTTAAACCAACCATATTTCTTGCGAAACGTGATTATAATAGCTTCTAGAAAATCTAATTTGGGTTTCTTGTTATTTCACGATGTGGTAAACTTAAAATCCTTAAATAAAAGTAATGTAGAAAAGCAATTTATTTTCATCTCCAATAATGTTTCTTTTATTAGAGACTGACTTTTAGTCACAATTGATCGTGATATACTTGACTATAGTCGTGACATGTTATTTCACAATTTGATTCACCTTGATACGCCATTCCTGCTCACCTTTCCTACTAAATATTTAAATGTAAGGTAAATGATCTTCTTGACCTAGTGACCGTAGGATTTCCCAATATCAATACAGAGGCAAACGTCCTACATGCACGCTCAAGTCTACCTTTGTCAGATATAGGGGAAAAATTTTTGTTCGAACAAAAGAATAATTCAATTTCATCATTGATTTTCGTCTCGAGATTGTGAAATTCAACAGGATAGTCTGTAATATACTTGAACAGAAACCCTATTTACATACCTAATATAGATATAGATATAGTCCTATCATAGAAGAAATGCACGTTGTTTTCATTTGGAATGAAGAACTCCTCACATGTATATATATATAAATAATACGTAGGTTCAGTGATAGACAAATTATTTTAAAATGTTATAAATATAAACTTTAAAGTGGGATACACAGGTGAAAATCCTATTTTCATAATTATAATTACGGAATCAGTTTGTCGATCTTTACAGCTGGCAAATTAAGCACACGATTCCTTTATTTTGTATGTCATTACCTCTGTCTGTACGTTCCAAATTGTGTATTTATAACTCATGCACCAGTGTATTAATGGGTTTGGTGAACTGACTGTTTATATCTATTAAACATACTGCCTTTAAGGATTAAAGTAACATTAATAACAGTAATATTTTGATAACAGCTTCGGTAAATTTTTATATCTAGTTCACATTAAGGAGTTTTATTATAATAGACTACATGTTTCATTCGATCAAGACTTGTACAAAAATATTGAGGTAGAGAACAGATAAGCTATTGATTTTAAAATTCATATCTTTTAAAAATTGATTCGTAATTATAAATCCAATATCAGCATAAATACTGTTGTTTCAGATTTTAAAATCTAAATCCAGAACAATTTCCATGTTACCTTTAGTTTAAAAGAAATTTAAACAAAACTTACTGTTTAATTTTTAAATTGGTTCTCGTTGTGAATTACATCAAAGGTAGTTGTAAGGGAGTTCCAATGAAAATACATTTTAAAAATCAATAAAAACAAAAATCCCTACTTTGATAGGGAAAACAGCAAAGTAACAATAGTATATGCATGTATATATAATTTTGAATTATCCAATAACGAGTCCTCTGTTTCCAAACTAAACAAACAGGACCTTGTTGATAATTTTTCCGTGGGCATGCCAAGAAATCAACTGAATCAAATTTTTATTTCCTGTCAAAATATACAGACAAAAGCAACGAATCCTTAATTACTGCTGTTTTCTAAAAGCTTAAGGGGGGTGTATCACAAACAAGAAGATAGACGTTGGAACAACTTAATGAATGAAATACAACGGGTGCAGCAATTAACACTTACTCAGCGGGGAGACATTTAAGCGTTCAATGCGTAAATAAAATCTAAGATGCTCCTTTTCTGTACTGGGTGGATTATATAATTTAATATTTCATTTTTCAAAAAAAATGAAGAGCTGAGAGGAATCTCACAAATGTCCCCCCAACACAGAAACGGTGTTATCAGATGGTTTACATGTAAAACTGAATATATATTCTCGAAATATTGAAAAACACGTGTACTTGCTCAGCTGGTAAAGCGCTTGGTTCAGGCTGATACAAGGGGGTCCACCTGGTCCAGTGTTAAATCCTAATCTGGTCCGTCTTGTTTTCCCCCTTTCCTGTTACATATATATGCAATAAGAATTGAAAGATTTTCCTTTTCTGGTAAGAAATTAGTGTGTCTTTGAACATTTTTCCTGCGCAAATAAGGCACGTTTGTTCTAAATGAATGAAGAATATGCATATCTTTATATGATATATTTTTCTCTGAGGAATGTGGCAGGTCAAGAAAAATGAAAGGTGCTTGCCTTGACATGGGTCATATGCTGGTGTCTCATAGTGATAAAAAACTGTTTTAAAGTGTCATTTTCAATAAAAAATAAAGAAAACCAGTCATTTCCTGTCCCATATTGTTTAAAAGTGAAAGTATGTTCATGACCTCTTCTTTAAATCAAATCAAATTTAAAAACTTTTCATATGATTTCAATTTGAATGACATGAAAATACCCCATTTTCTATCTGCTAAAGCCATAAGATTTGACTTCCTTTGACTTATTCATATTCGCTCTTAAGGAACATAGGTGTTATGGGCTAAATTTTTCAACTTGGTCCAGGTAAATTTGTCTCTTTTGCCTCCAAATTACACGGACCTTCTCCGGATTTGTCTGGGTTCTCCTGCAACTCCTCTTTCTGTGTGGATTCCAATCAAGAGCCTGTTTTGTGATAAATTTAAAGATCTGAATGTTCAATTATCAACTATTATAGATTCTGGGTATAGACATCAGCACCATTCAGAGAGAAGAAATTCTCAAGATCAGAAAGACCTAAATTCTGGAAGAGATGTTGTAATTTTTTACCCGGTAGATTAATTAAAACATGCCAGACAAAGAAAAGACATTGGAAAAACAGAAAAGAATATTTCGCCATATCATTTGTAAAGTATCAAAAAACCCATCTATTCAATAGTTTTTAGATATCTTCTCGAACGTGAAAGAAAAGGGTGAAAATTACGAACAGTATTATTCGATCTCATAGAAACTGCAAACAACACAAATCTGTAAACAGGGCATGAAAATGGACCACAAGAAATTCCAGAGTTGGGATCAGGTGCTAAAAGGAGAGGGCATCCCGTGTTGCTCTGTAAAAGACATCAAGATTAACCAAATTATTCAAATCACCATATCAACATCACTGTACTTTTTCTGTACTGAAGAGAAAGTTAGAAACGAATTCAACCAAAAGAAGTAAAGAGAGAAAGGTTTTATGATAGAACTTGTGTATTTACATAGATAATAAATAACAACACTGAAAAGCCAATTTTTTTCTAAGTTTTATTTCAAAAAATGTATCCATAAAAGCAGTGCTTAAGCCTTCTCTAGCTATTAAAATAATTGTGTGTGTAAAGAGAATCATGTAGATGGAAGCTTATATGTGTATTCTATTTCATTAAAAAAATGGAAGGAAAAAGTACATGTATTGTTTAATAAGGTAAACAGTAACATCAAACTTGCAACAAAATGTAAATCAGCTAAACAGTTACAGTTTCAAGAGAACAAATTTACAAAGCAATGCTGGAAACTTCCAGAATCAGAGTCTCAATATTCTTTTAAATATACATATATTGTATATATTACATCAATCATATGTCGTGTGAAATAAATCTTGAGTTAAGCAAATAGTATAATCACATATATTAACTAATAAATCAGGACATTTAAAATAATTACAAATTGCATTTTATATTTAATCAAAGTGCGCAAATGACCCGATGTACAAAGCAAAACAAAAAAAACTGTACTTTTGAAATATTCCACTATCTACATGGATTCAACTATTTTTTGTGCACATTGTACTATCATACACATTTTATTGTTAATTATCTGTGGTTGTATCAACCAAAATGAGAAGCTGCCTTTTTACTATGCATCATACATTGTAACCACAAATAAAAACAATCCTACAATTGACATTTGCAGGGGTAAAAACTCTCAGGTCGTTCCATGTCTTACAAGATGTTCTTACCAAGATGAAAGCTTTAATGGCTTTTTACTAACCAGTAATAATTGCATTGAAGGATTGTTTTTTCTTTTGAAATTCGTTAATATTTGTGAGGGATTGGTTAGTCATATAAAACGTATTATTTTCATAATGCACCACAACTGTAGCCAATAAATTAATCAGTTATCTTCCAGACTCCGCCTCTTTTCTATCTGATACATATCGTGTGATAAACATTAGATGTCAATCATATACTTTTAACGAATAAAAATAGATTTCCCAGAAATAAAAAAATTAAACTATTTCAAGTGTAATTATATTATATATATATGTAGTACTGTAACTTGAAATTTTATAGCGCGTGTCAATATAAAGGGTGCAGAGTACAGTTTATTGAATATGTTGCAATAATAACATTCCCTTATCCTATCCTATTTAAAGGGTCTTAAGAGCCTTCACATTTCTTATATCTGTTTACACTTCAAGAAACTTGATCCACAAGAATCATTAAAAGGACTGTCTCATCCTGACAGTCCAGTGAAATTCGTCGTAGTGTAAGAGCCTCAGCATTGCCTCTCAGCTGAATCGATTGCTACTGAGCACTGTGTTCATTGAGAAAAACAAAGGAACACGTGACTGTTTTCATTGACGTAGAGAATGCGGTTTTCACGTTTGATAGTAACGGGCGAGTCCATTTTTTACGAAGGAAGACAGCTTTATATACGTTTGTTTATATGAAGGATATTACAGTTTAAGTCTAGAACTTGAGGAGTATACACGTCCTGTGGACAATATTTCTTTCTGCCTGGGGCAGAAAACTATTATACTAGGTCAAATCAGTGTGCATCTAAGAGCTTGGTATGCGCTAATAATTTCTTGTGAAAATCCTGTAAATTGTATTACTTCTAAAGTTGGAAAGGGACTTTATTTTAAGTGACGCAGAATTTTTTTTGGAGAAAAAATGGACACTTGTAAATTAATAATTCAACCTGCAACTGGGGGAAGTTTTGATGTTCAGGTTGGCCATAATGAAACTGTTCAGGGACTACAATGGACTTTATCCAGGATGTTTAATATACACAGAGATCGGATTACTCTGCTCCATCAGAATAAGTAAGTCCACTAGATTAAATGCATCTTTATCGTAAAAAATTTGGGAGGGAAAAAAAGCATGCATAGTTGCAAGGTCAAAGAGATTCAAAGATAAAATGCAAAGTACTGATAGCATCGTGATACCAGTCAACCAACAATGAATGTACCCCTATCTCTGAATATAAACAGCTAATAAAGACATTGCCTAAAGTCCTATAGTTATACTGAATTTTGGACTAAATTAAACTGCACATTATACTAGCTTGTTTTTTTGTCCTGTCTCACATGTTCTTTATTGTTTGAGACGGTAAACCAACACAATGAAATACACCCACAGACAGTACGTTGTACGTTCGTACATTACAAATTCAACACCTTATGCGAAAGTAGATAGTGTGAAGCTGCAGAACTTAAGTACGCCTTGCATTATAAGCTGCATATCGACTAATTACAGACACAACCCTATCAATCCTCTCCCTGTACGAGATTTTGACAGTACCCCTACACCCACGTTCACTAGAATATGCTTTATGACTGAGGCTTAATCGACCAGAACCAAAATCGTGACCTTTGTCTTATAAGTTATGTCAATAGCTAAACCCACCAAGATTTTTAAACATGCAAGTATTTGCTGAGGCTAATTCTAAATATAACACCCCTGTAAATTTTGGAGCTGCGAGATAATTACATGGCGCGGAAGTTCTATGTAGGTGTTTATAATCTGTACAGATTGAGATTATGTGGGTCAAGTGTATATTCATTAGGTCAACACAGTTTAGCCTACGCAGAGCACTATCGTGAACTTCGTCAGGTGAAGCATGTCCGAGTCAGCTGTAAGAAATCTAATCTATACCAGCTGCCAAAGCCACAGCGGCCGAGTCCCAAGTCAATTAAACAAAGGTCTCTCATTGATGAAGGTGATCAGCTGGCTTTGTTAACTTACAACTTCCTTCTAAAAATTGGGGGAGTTTTTTTTCGAAATTTAAATCTTCTATCTAGCACCTTGTGACTGAAACCACCACTGATTTAATTGACTGAACCTCGGTTTTAAGGATAAAGCAATAATAAAACGGTTCTCTTAATTTCTCCTTATCAGTGACCTTGCTGTCTGTATAGTCTATGATTGTCACCGGAAGCATAATAGATAAACTACTATTTAGAGAAGGATACGGAGCGTTTTGTTGCGCCACGGTCGCCCACACTTCCTCACGAATTGCCTGTCCCAATTTACCTCCTGTTATTATAGGTTTAGCCGCTTGTTGGCTATCTTTCCGATGTCCGAAGATCCATGTTCTATCGACTTTTCTACAAATCCAATAAATTTCTCTGGTCTTGGGCTCCAAGTCAATTACCTTTGAACTTGGAAGCTCGCTAGGGATCTGGTCAGACTATAATAGTATTCAACAATGTATTGATCACATGCAGATCCTATCTGGTCCTTTTGAGATAATAAAAATCAACAGTAGAGAAAACGTCATTCTAAAACTTCAATTGTCTATCGTAAAAAAAGTGCGTTCAACTTAACACTGCCAAATATTTTCCTGAAGCATTAATCAAATATGCTTATTTTGTTGTCAAATGGGCCCTCTCTTCGGTAGCGCAGGATGGTACATGATTACCATATATGGTAAAATATACTTTACTCTCCCAATAAACCCTTAAAACAGTGACTAATTGAATAACTCTGATAAACAGCTCCAATTAAGTATTAGTCCCCTCTAAAACAAAGATTACATTAATCAAGTGTGAAGTAACGCCTGATTTGTAATTCATTATTTACATATTTTCAGGGGACATAGTAACTATATTTTCACGAGACATAAGTAATTGTGATCACTGCTTAGTACATAAATACTTAGGACAATGTAATCTTCAACCTGCTTAAGACGGATAAACCAGCGGAAGATAGAAGTCGCAGATCAATAGCTTATTTCTATGAAATTGTCAGGAGAGCGCAATATTTTCAGAATGATGAATTGTTTCCTTCTTTGGAAAAGCGTAAAATACCTAGAGATTCATTTATGAAATTATATCAAAATTCTGTTTGCATAGAAAGTAACATTGATGTTACTCATGTCTTGGCCTGGGTGGGAGATTATTGTAGTTCTCATTGCAGACACAAAGCCTTCAGAAATCATTTAATCAACAGTATGACGTCTATTCCAAATGCCAAATCTCCGGCTCTCTCGCTGCAAAGTCCTTCATAATTGAACAGTGGTTCACAAAGAGACATACTAACCTATATCTTTTTTTCTTTTTTTACCAAAACTCAATGCACGGAAGAGTGATAAACTAATAGCTTTAGCAGGCCTGCCGATCGCTTGGAAGCATAATTGTGGTTTGAACTCTTAACCGCAAGTGCAGTCTCATACATATTTAAACGATCAACAAATAATAACCGCGAATTAAAAAGATCTACACCGGGGAGACAAGATTACTTTGATAAGCCGACTATTTCAGACAATAACGAGGTTTGGCATTGGGCAGCTATTGCACAAAGAATTCACGTTATGCAATGGTTTATTAGGAAGTTGCATACATGTATGTACGTCGATGCTTAGATTTAATATTTTTATCTACCAGTAAAAGTCAATATTTCGACTAGGAGTGATGTTTTCGCTTTCAAAATGCCACTCCTACGCACATTCTTCAACACAACTGACGTACCTTTATTTACGGAAGCGAGGTAGAAAGATTAACGACCTCGTAACTTTTGGGGGCTTTCTGCTTGCACTATACACCTGACGGCTTTCTTTATCACAATTTGAGGTCAAAGGCCCTTTTTTAATACGAATGAGAGATGGAAGTAGAAAATTCAAATAAGGACAGCTGATCGGTCGAACAGCGACCAGGCTCCCGAAAAGAAAGACTTCATTCCGCCCACACATTTGCCGCTCATTAAATGTCAGGACTTGCTTTACATCAAGCTTGCATGCTAAACAAGCATTCAAGTGTGCACCTCCGAGACTCTCAAAATACTCCAAAAATACATCAGGCTTTTTTTTATTTATCGCTCTTCAATAAAAGGAAGCGAACGTATGTATTGATATAAGGTGACTAAAATTATTCAAGTTTGCAATCTTGCCAAAGGAGTTTATACATAAATGTCAAGAACATACAAAATAACCGAAGCCTGCAAACTTCCATTTTTTAGCGGCACGCACTGGACGCCCACAATCTAAAAAACAAAATATGTATAATCGAAAAAGGTCATTAGCCATTTCAATAAAGAAACCATACACATAATTCAAAACCCTCCCAACACGTAGCTTTAGTATCTTTCTTAAAAGGGCAAAAAGCGAGATTGATAGCTTTCCCATAGAATGGGGATAGACGGACTCGTGTCCGTCAAGATATTGGGGAGGATAAGATTGTTGAACAAAAGTGTTTAGGGGGAAAACATCTTTGAGCCAATTATCCCTGACACGGCTTTAATCCCGGTTCTGACGTCAATGCATCCTCAAACCTTGTACAGCAAAAGTCAATGAATGCACATTACGTGCGGGGCATAACAGAGTTTGTCAAGTAATCGATTGTCCCTCCAATAAATAAAACGGCACTGTAATTGAATTGCATTTTCATGTAACGTAGTCTTCTGACGCACGCTGACTAAATTCCTCGACCTCAATCCCTCATCCTTCACATAAGTCTACCAGAACCGTTAGCTAAGTGATCAGTTTTTAATTAATGATCTTGTCCATTTAAGCAGGGCGGTGGTCCCATTTTCAGAAAGATTTTTATTGCAATCTTGCCAAATGAAGACTTTCCATTTCATAATCTGCATCGCTTAATTATGGAATGGCTACTCCCATCATCCGATTAATTTATTTTTTCCAAGAAAAAAAAATGCCAGCGTATTATAACATGTTTTCAAAGTTATATAACAAGCAATTTAATGTTCATAATAATGAGAGTAGTGTGTATTGCTTGCGAGCAGTTTTCTTCTAATTTACATTCCTCCCAATTAAGACGACGATTCTTGAAAATGCTAGCAAAAAATTAGAGTAGGCAGTAAAGGAATGTGCCGTCTTCTGCTTGTCAAAAATAATTCCTGACAAGCGCTAACCCTGCAACCTCCCAGAACATTAGCCCACTTACCGAAACGGTTACAGAAAGGTTACTGGATCCATGCATGATTTTTAAATTCTATTTTTAGGCACCTAAAACATGGGTTTTTGAGAGATTATGACGTTGAAGACGGTAGCACCTTGACACTTATACCAAGCATGGAAACTGGTTTATCTGTAAGTTTCCGCAGTATAAAAAAAGTTTTTTTGCAGTATAAAAAAATAACATGTTAAAATTAAAGCCAATTTTCAAAAATAAACATAAAGATTAAAATTTCATTTGTCTTCTGTAAAACTGATGATTTGTTTTAAAAATCAGAATTTCTTCTCATATTTCAGTTTCATAAAAAAGACAATGGAGTTATGCAAGCGTTAGAGAGTTTAACAGATTCACAGGTGAGTGTTGAATTACACCTTAGTGATAACCCTTGGCCAACAACCAACAGACAACCTTCTTATGTTCAGATTAACTCACTTTGTTACACAAGTAACAGCTGCGCTTTTTAAAAACAGGCTGTGATTCGTTGGTGCATTAATTTTGACTTTAAAAAAGATGCGGTTTACTGTAAAGGCCTACTATTCCATATATTTTTGTTCTTTGACATTTAAGTTGTTGACCTTTAAAAATCTTCGCATAATTATTCATTATATGTTGCGTCTGATTCACTCTCTGATGGTAATGTCTAAATTTAGTTTTTAAAAAGTTTAAAAAAATAAAAAAAAAAAAAGTTCTTTTATCTAGCCTCCTTGAAGATTCCCTTCTTCACAAAGAAAGGTTTTATTCAAACATTAAATTTCGCAATTAATCTGATAAAAAAAAAAGTGTATTTTGTAATTCATAATTATTGCAATATTCACAGAGCAACGTGAACTGCGACCGAGTTGCGCAACATTTACCGATTCTGATGTTGTTATCAACTAATCATTCTGTCAAGCTCAAATGAATAGATACTCACGAAAATAGGTTGCAAAATGATAAAAAAAAATGTGAGGCAACAACAAAGAAACTAAGTAAACAAACACACAACAGTTTTAAAAAAGTTTAACAGCTGATGAGATGAAATTTCGAAATCCCTCAAGGAGCTGAAATTAAAATGACTGTACACGTGTTTACCTAATAATGAATATCAAAGAATTCTGTTCGTAACAGATTATTTGATTTTTCTTTCAGATAAGTGAGTTTCTGTCAGGGAGAGCACCACTTGTATTAGCCATGAGACTAGGAGACCATATGATGTTCATACAGCTTCAACTTTCTACGCAAAGTGGTTCCAAGCGATCCCGCCCCTCTCCAGTTCAACTGCCTACCCCCCAAAACATGACCGTGCACGATCATCAAGACGTCCCCTCCCCTACCTACATACCACATACGGGGAGCAACGGAATCCCTTATAATCTACATCAATTCCGGGGTTTCCCCGACTCAGAAAAAGTAAGACATCTTCAGAGCATTTGTTCGCCCTATCTATACAAGATTATCTAGGTCAGATTTCATCAGGAGAACTAGGCCTAAAAGCATTTACATTTTCTAATTGCAAATAATATCTTTTATTGAAATTTTGTTAATAAAGGAAGACATGGGGATAACTTTATAGTTAATCTGAATATCACCATGTCTCAGTATCGTCTTGTTATTTTTACTGGCCTGAGGACAAATACGGCAAACCCACACATATAATATTCCCCAAACCAACCCACACAGGAAAATAAGCTGATCCCACAATGTTTGTTTGTTTGTAGGACACCTTGGTGCACAGCCTATTTACTGTATTACTAATCATCGATCGATTTTAACCTCTCTCTCTGATCAAACTTGCCACATGTCAAACCTTTGATGCTGCAATTTCTCAATCAGCCTAGCTATTGATTTCTAGGTCAAATGAGCTTTTATAATCGAGGAAGTTTAGAATCTGTGTCAGGGATAACAAAGAAGAAGTGAAAAAAAATACATGTACATGTACTTAGAAAAATTGTGATAATCCCCAAAATAAGCTTTAAAACATGTGAAAATATCTTAGGATACTAGCAGTAAAGGTGAAAAATCATTGCGGGAATTTCAACTCAAGCTTGCCTGATAGTTCATTAAACTCCTCTGATGTAACACTGACATACTTAAATAAAGTAAGCTTACAATGTACATACCTTTATAGATGTGTTCCTTGCTATTTTTAGAAGTGCCAAACCTCTAGCTTTAATCAAGGTGTGATGGAGAACTCCTCCGGGTGTCAGGGAGCTGTGATAGAGAGCGTGGAGAATCTGGGTCGGGGCATGTACTCCGGGACATTCTCAGGTAAACTCCTCCTCCCTTCTTTTTACCCTCTCCTCTTTGAGACAAAGACCCCTTTTACAAAAAAAAGTCAGATTATAAACATGAACATGTGTATAACTCAAGAAATCATAGTTGAACTGAAATTTCAGTGCAAATGCACACTCTTTAAATCAACTTCCCATAAATATGCTTGATGTGCCAGTGCAACACATTTCATTTGACCTTGACCTTTTTTCAGGGACCCTTGACCCCTCGGTGTACTCGGTGGAGGGTCGTCCCCGTAGAGACCTCACTACCATCATCCATATCCTGAATGACCTCCTCAGTGCAGTCCCCCATTACAAACCACACTCATTTCTTCACCAACCACAACCATCAGCCCCAGATTCCCAATTTAAAGGTCAGTACACATACATTACACCTTATTTAGTGGTAGAAATCTGTCTTTACTATCATTATGATTTTTCAGTGGTAAGCTTTGCAGTAATTCTTTGCTTCAATTTAAAAAAACAAAACTTTATACCGAGTTCTTTTATGGGATGTATTGGATCAGACAGGTTTTGGATTTTTTTTTAAAAACGGATTTAAATGAGAAATATTCAACAACAGCTATTTGCGAAAAAAAATATGCAAAGGTTAAGATCAAATATTAGAATCTACTAAATAACTCTAAGGGTATTTTATTATTTTTTTGTAAAAATGGGTAAAATGTCCTTGCTTCAGTCATACGACTGACAAAATTACTCTGCACTTTGCTGGAATATTAGTTAAGTATGTGATAATAAACAAATTAGAGTGTTTTGATTACCAAGAAAACACAGGTGAAATAGCCAAGGTGCAAACATTGATCAATCAAATAAGGATTTATGTTCTTTAAAAAAAGCAATGCCTTTTCCTTTTCTCCTACACCAATTTATATATATTTTTTTTTTTAAATGAAATACCTATCTAATTTAGTGAAACTTTGACACACCAAATCAGCTGAATTTTTCAGGCATGTATAAAGGATTTTGAAGTAAATTCTTGCCATGCACTTCTGAATTCTTAACAGAGTGCAGTGACCTGTGCAATGTACTGCAGGAGAAGGTTGTAAAACCATACAAGTTAATCTACTAAAAATAGTCAGAATTTGAGAACTGAAACCCATTATAGGATGGTGTCTTTTTTATCATGACTTTTTTACCCCACTAGACATAAGTACACTGCAATTATAAATTCATTTAGTATTGTAAAACTCGGGAAATATGTAGATGTCTTTGCACACCTGGACAGAGGTGAATCATATATAATTATAATTCGGACCAGCCATAAGTCTAATAACCACAGAACAAAGATGACAACTTAGATTTGCCGACATTTGTGGGATATACTTGTTTTACATGTCTCCACACAGCATGAAGTAATAGGCAGAAATCAATACATCTTAGTCACTGTGATCGATACTGAGTAATAAAACGTGTGGGTGGTTTGTTTTACAGAAAGACGAGCTCATAATCCCAGCTGTACAGACGAAGTGGACAATGCCAATATCCGTAGTAAAGTCAGGCATCTTAAAATGATGATGGCAGAGAAAAAACAGCGCAGAAAAAACAGACGGACCTCACAGGCTCCTTACCATTGGCCGAGGAAGCAGGATCGAAGCTTTAAATCTGACACCGGCTCAGATTGTCTGAATTCTGAAAACCAGGTCCCCCAGGACTCTTACAAAAATCTGAAAGAAGAAACAGTGGCAGTATGAGCACATTGTCTCTGTAACTTTGGGTCAGTTTTCCCCATAAAGCTGACATATCTCTTTGTTAGTTTTTAGGGAGCTTTCTGTTGTGGTGGTATTTGAAGCCACTGGTACTACAGAAAAAGGCATTTATATATAATGTTACATTGTTCAACTTTGGCCATTGTTGAAGCATTGGATCTTGACTGCTGATGATACACGTATGCATTTACCACTAAAGCATTATGTATTTTTGTTGATACGATTGATCAGGCCAAGTTGTTAGGGATGTTTTAAGGACCGGAAGATATGTAACAAATAAATGCTAGTCAATTTGTGTTGTGAACAAAATGCAGGCCCATGACAAAGGCAGTATATTGTCATGAACAGCTGCATGTTCATTGTTTAGAGAACACAGTCTTTGAACAAGTTTACATACTTGATCCAAAGACAGTTTTGTAGTGGTTTTATGTGCACTTTGTAGAGGCATATTGTCTATATGAAGCATAACAATTGTTGTCTTTTGTGGCCAGTATATATATCAGTAAACTAATTGTTCCTCACTTTAATTCAATAGTGTTTTTGCTTGATTTACCTTTGTGTCTTTGTTAAGGCCATGACATTTTCCCTTCTCAGGTTCCACCCAGGTCAAAATCTTCATATCAAACTGGATTTTTGTTGTTGAGAGACTCAATCATCTTTTTCTCCCAGTTTCCTCAATTGAAAAAAATAAATTACAAAATTTAAAACTTCAACTTCAAATATAATATCAAATAATTGGTTATATAGTCATACTCAAAAATGCCAACACATAAAAAATGTTTTATTATTCATTCCTTGAAAATATGGAGAAAATGATGCAATTTTTTTCCCTAGCTGTTTTATCTATAATTTATTTTAGAAAAATACTAAATGACTCCATAGGGCACATATATCTATATTTTCCATTTTTTCAGTTTGTACATTTAGTGCTATATATTTATTACTCCCTCAAATTTGTTTTGAAAGAAATATAATGGCATTTTTTGTTGATCTCACATGTACGTTTTAAACGAGATTTAGTCTATTGCTGCTATGACGCACACACAAATTGTTGTCTCCTGTATTTAGACTTGTTACGTAGAGCAACTACACCATGCATTCTTTACTTAAAACTATTCAGGTAGACAATATGCTAATTCAGTAACTATTTTCAGATATTTAAATACGCTTCTTATGCCATTATAAAATAATTTTTGTAGGGCAATGAACAGATCAACTGCCTGTATTGGTTCATTTTAATAAAAGACTACACGTCATAAACATTTTTTAAAAGCTGTGACACACAGACTTGAATGCAAAATTTCTCTTAACATCGACTTCCTTGTTTGAGATTGTCAGAAAATCAGACGATTTTATCTACACTACAAGTGTTCCAGGTATTGCCTGTTACTTCTTGTAACAGTGATCTGGTGTCATAACTCACCATTAAATATTAACACATTAAAACAACTTGTGTCCCAGTCACCTCTTGAATATCAAACCTTTATATAAGTTATTGAAATTCCATGACTTTTTTTTCTTCTGGATTGAACTTGTATAATATTACTTATTGACCTTATCGATGACTTAAAATGACATTTTAATTTGCACGGATAGTTAATTTTGCATGGAGGATGTTTTTTTTGTATTGTAACTTATATTGCTACTGTCCATTGAGCAGGGTTAAACGACGTTATATCCTCCTGCTATATCCTGTAGGTGGATCGTTTACGTACTTGTATATCAATACATTGTATTTGTACGACTCTGTAGTCTTTAATCCTTCATATCTATTCATTATTTTTTGTTCATAATTGTTATCATAACCTGGTGTTAGTAAAATAACAGTTTGCTACCAATATTTTCCTTTTGATGAAAAAATAAAAAAAAGTTCTGAATGCAAATGATCTCTTTCTGGTGATTTATAAGTATATAAAAAGGTCAATGTACTATAATGGTACAATGTACTTTATTGATAGTATTTTCATCAATTTAGTAAACAAATACCCTCAGGTACACATAACAATTACAATGTATTACATTATATATGTTAACCAACAATCCTTTAAATTCTTGTCTGTGAACAAAAGATATTGGGAACTAGGTATCTTATAAGAATTTATTACTGACAAAGAGTTAACTCAAAAAGTTAATGACTGGTTATTTTTTATCCATATCAATATGATACATGTACGTACATGTGTGGCATACTGAATGAACTTGATAACCTTAGCCAATATGTTTTCCTCTTCAAACATGAAAAACATAATATGATGGGAAAAAATTTTAAGTATTAATTGCCTTCATACTGGTAGTAAAAAAAGCCTCTTGTCAACAATGGAGTGAACTTAATGAACCCCCAGATTATAACAGTCCCTGAAATTGGAGTGTCCTCCTACTTCATACCTATTACCCGGCCATTATAGACTGACAAAGATTGACAACTTTATCAATCCCTGTGCACTTCAGGATCTGTACAGTAATCAGGTCTATAATAAATTTATGTACAGTTGCCCTTTACAAGTCATTAGCATAGATAAAACACAGATTTGTTTGATGGAAATCAATGCCAGGGTGTCTAATTGTCAATACAGTCTTTCTTAAGACATGTAAACGACTGAAATGAGGTTTTCTTCTGATAAGACCATGGAGGAACCAAGAAGTGATCATGTTAGAAGTCTGTAGAGATTTCAAAGCTGAGTGCATGAAACTCCATCAGAAGATTTAGATCAGGATATTGAATGATGGCTGTGATTTTAATTGGACAATTTCTCATTCCTCGGTTATCAATCTTCAGTGACAAGACAAAATAAAAACATTGATAAACCCCACATATATCCTAACATTTTGTTACATGCAGCGCTACTTAAATGTCAAATGGGCTCATTCTTGAAAAATTACCTTCTCTACTTTTAATTCTCATATGACTCTTATGAAAGAGGGTCTTTAAAAAAAAAGTTTTAAAAAAAATTAAATATAAATTCTTCTCCCAGTAATTTAAGGAGGCTAAAAAATCATCGTTCAGAATCCCTGAAAGTGTAAAAAGGGTAGAGTTTGATATAACAGTTCAGTTATTGGGGGATTTCAGTTTACAGAGTAGGAGACAGGACAGTGTGTGGTATATGGCCTGAATACTAAAGTTGTCAATCACGGACTCCTTACAACTGCCCCGGGGCCCACTTGACAACAGAAAACCTACAACTGTTGATCGAGTGTCCCATGATTCACCAGATGAATGCTTTTTTTTCTGTTTTCATTAGTATTGGTTCCATTTACTGTGTATAATGACACACAGTTAGTATAAGTGCTACATATCAACCCACACTGAAATACTCAATAGACAGCTTTTTGTAAATGGCCTTTTTTATTAAAGTAAATCTAGTTTTTTTCTATTTTAATTTCCTGAATTTCTTTCCCTTATATTAAATACTTATTATATATTAAATTGATATACATGTAATAAATATTTCAAATTTTTTTTTTTTCTATTGAAAGAAAACAAAAATAAACAAGAGGCCCATGGGCCACATCGCTCACCTGAGAAGCTTTGACCATTCTGTTCTTTACCAGATTTCCCCCTTGTTATACATAATGCATCCCCACCCTACCCCACTGATCATAATTTAGACATTTTGAAATCTACACTCCCCCATGATCCTTCCATGGGCACATATGTTTCAGCTTTTTTGGCCCAGTGGTTCCTGAGAAGAAGATTTTCAAAGATTTTTCCTATATATTTCTATGTAAAACTTTGATTCCCTATAATGGCCCCGCCCTTCCCCCGGGGGTCATGATTCCTACAATTTAGAATCTACACTACCCCAGAATGCTTCCACATAAGCTTCACTTTTTCTGGCCCAGTGGTTCTTGAGAAGAAGATTTTCAAAGATTTTTCCTATATATTTCTATATAAAACTTTGGTAGCCCCACCCTTCCCCCGGGGGTCATTATTTTAACAATTTAGAATCTACATTAAAATTCCACATAAGTTTCAGCTTTTCTGGCCCAGTGGTTCTTTTTTCAAAGATTTTTCCTATATATTTCTATGTAAAACTTTGATTCCCCATTGTGGCCCCGCCCTTCCCCCGGGGGTTATGATGTGAACAATTTAGAATCTACACTATACCAGGATGCTTCCACATAAGTTTCAGCTTTTCTGGCCCAGTGGTTCTTGACAAAGATTTTTCCTATATATTTCTATGTAAAACTTTGAACCCCATTGTGGCCCCACCCTTCCCCCGGGGGTCATGATTTGAACAATTTAGAATCTACAGTTTCAGCTTTTCTGGCCCAGTGGTTCTTGAGAAGAAGATTTTCAAAGATTTTTCCTATATATTTCTATATAAAACTTTGATTCCCCATTGTGGCCCCGCCCTTCCCCCGGGGGTCATTATTTGAACAATTTAGAATCTACACTACACCAGGATGCTTCCACATAAGTTTCAGCTTTTCTGGCCCAGTGGTTCTTGAGAAGAAGATTTTCAAATATTTTTCCTATATATTTCTATGTAAAACTTTGATTTCCCATTGTGGCCCCGCCCTTCTCCCGGGGGTCATTTAATTTTCTGGCCCAGTGGTTCTTGAGAAGAAGATTTTCAAAGATTTTTCCTATATATTTCTATATAAAACTTTGATACCCCATTGTAGCCCCGCCCTTCCCCCGGGGGTCATGATTTGAATAATTTAGAATCTACACTACCCCAGGATGCTTCCACATAAGTTTAAGCTTTACTGGCCCAGTGGTTCTTGAGAAGAAGATTTTTTAATGACCCAACCCTATTTTTGTCTCTTCTTGATTATCTCCCCTTGGGAGGGGATATGTCCCTTCATTTTAACAATTTAAATTCTCCTTCACCCAAGGATGCTTTGTACCAAGATTGGTCAAAATTGGCCCAGTGGTTCTTGAGAAGAAGTCGAAAATGTGAAAAGTTTACAGACGGACAGACAGACGGACAGACGGACGACGGACAAAATGTGATCAGAAAAGCTCACTTGAGCCTTCGGCTCAGGAGAGCTAAAAAGCTAGGAAGCAAGTTTCATTGCAAAAAAGGGCTTTGTATAAAATACTTGTACTTTTGCATAGCTCCTTCAATACTGATCAGATACTTTTAACAGATAAATTCTTTTAATCAATTTTTTCTCTCCAAATTTGGCAGTTCAAAATCTGAAAAAAAACTGCACTTTTGTACATTTAATATACTTAAATGAAAGGAAAAAGTACACTATACGCATATTGCCATCCTGATTGTTATAGCAGTGCAGTAGTGGGAACACTGAGGAATTGTAACATAGAGAATGAAACTGGGAAAGAATGGAATCCAAAGCTTTATTGGTAATAAAAAATTCTATGGTTTGATACCATGTAATATGGAATCAGACACTTTCTTCAGGGCCATTGTAAGAAATTTGACACTGGCAAGGTAAATTTGAGTGGGGAGGAGGGAGGGGGCTGCTTTGTGATTCAATTTCACCAGCATTTTTGATATTTCCTGCAGTCAGTTTTTTGTCATCATTCTGATAGCAACATATATGAAAAATATTTTTTTTTTCATTACAAATAACTTTCTTGCCAACTGAAGACTCAAAAAAATTTGAATGAAAAATTTATGCCTTGATAACTCAACATCAGATATGTCAACAACCTTGGAGATGTTGACCCCTGTTGTCAGTTCTAGCTGTGCATCTTCTTCCTTATTAATAAATGATTTGCAAAAAACTTAGATATGTTGCCCTCAGCAGTGTTGATAACCCTGCTTCTCTTGACATATATCTCCGATGAACATTTACTGTTGCAATTTTATGACCCTGTAACCTAAGATATGGGTTACCTAAGATAGTTTGTGCCCTGTCAGTCTGTCAACAAATACTTTAACCTTGCCCATAACTTTTCATTGGTTGGGACTATAGCTTATATATTTCACATGTGCATTACAAATGTAATTTTGAATTTCTTTGACAAGACATTCTTTGGATACATGTACCAACATATTTGTCCTTTTGATCTTGGAATTTGATTATTTACCAAACTTTATCTTGGCCATAACTTTTGAACAGCTAGTATTGGGGCTTTCATACTTCACATGTGTATTCATTAGAAAAGACATTTCCTTGCATTCAAATACCTTTGACCTTTTGACCATGACCTTAGAGTTTGAAACACTATATATAATCTTTAACCTTATGTATATCTCTTGAACATTTTGCACCAGAGCTTCAGATTTCATAGTTGTATTCTTGTGACATTATCTTCCTTTGTATACCAACAGTTTTGACCTTTTGACCTTGACCTTGCAACATGACCTTCTTCTTGAAAACTTTATCCTAGACTTCTGGACAGTTGATGTTAGAGCTTTTACATTTCATGTGTATTTTTGTGCCAAGACCTTTCCTAGGTGCCATTTATTTTTACCCTTTGACCTTAACTTTGGAGTATCACCCACTTTTAAAGAACTTTAACTATGGCATTAACTTTTGAACAGTTGGTCCATGGGTGTCCATATACCATAGCTTAATTTATTGAGACAAGTCCTTTCCTCGGGTAACTTTTTTTCTCTTTATCTGAAATTACCTCAGCATTTAACTTGCATTTGAGAAGCTTTAACCTTTGGCATAAGCTGCCATATGCCATACACATTTCACAAACACATTTTATTTCTATTATGGGGGGGGGTCTTAATGTCTTTTTAATGGTGGTGGTAGTAGATACCGTTACCACTCTTTAATTGTTCTTTGCCCTCCTTCATAGAAAGTACATGAATATGTAAAATGAATGGCCCCATATGTTACATGCATGATAATTTTACCTTAATCCAGATTCATAAATTTTCAATTATATGATCACATTTCTGTATCTTTAATTTTTGTTTGCTTGTCAGGTATTGTAGCAAAACTTTACAAGTAATAATCTGACATTGTCTATCTAGGTACATGTACATCTAGATACATCAGATCAGTTATTATTAGGAAGGCTTGATCTGTTCATCCCAATTTATCAGAATTTATGATCCACCTACAATGTACAAGTGCATATAAGCACAACCATAGTAAAGGAGAGTTGAAATTTCCTGTACATTATATCTAAACAAGGAAAACATCACATAAGTCAGTGACCTGTTTTTTGTTGTTGTTAATTGTTTTAATTGCTTTTCATTTCTATGAATTGTCTCCATTTTCCGAGATCCTTTTGATTTTTTCTTTATGATCTTTTGAGTTTTTTGAAAAAGCACTTTTCACTATAGACAAAGGCATATCTTTCCCACTTAAGTACACATTGTTCTTAAATGCCTCCATTCCACAATCATCAAGACAAAAACTATCATTATAGTTTCCGTACTTGGAGAGATACACAGCAAATGAGAATCCAGTCATAAATGAATCAAAACCTGCTCTATGACACCCCGCCTTACAAATCTCCCGATTTTCATGTCGGCTCACAATGAATTGGTCAAGTTGGTCCTTAGTAAACTGGTTCCCTACCAGTCCTGTCTTTTCGTCACTGTTGTCTCCGTTTTCCTGCTGCTGGTTGAGAATTCTCCGTTTTCTCTTGCGACTCTTTTTTGTCTGAACAAGCTGGTCCAAGTCTAGAATCATATCAATGTCGTGTGACTTGCTACATCGGTTGCCATTCCCACACCAACCATGGCCCTTTTAAGAGAATGAAAGTTTCTATGAAAGAATGAGTGTTTATCCTTCAATGAATTCAAAAGCAATTTAGTACTTGAATGAAATAAAATACATTTGGAGTTAAGCTATGAAAACCAGTATCTTCTTAAAATTAAGAGTAAATACATTGTACCCTAAAAAAAGCAGAAGAAAGAAACCTAAATGTTAGTACATGTATTTATCAAAATATTTTTTTATGCCATCTGCCTACATAACTAGTCTCTCAAAACTGTGCATAAAGGTATCCTGTTGAAGAGTTTTTTCCTCAAAATATAAGATTTTGCCGATATTCTGAAATAATAAAGCAGTGCTCTAACTTTGACAAGTACATGTACAAACCATATTAACATAGAACATATAATATCTAATATTAAGGTCATTGATTTTATTATAGTGTTAACAGTCAGTGACACTTAGTAAAAAGTAAGGTTAGAAAACTGACCCATCAGTTACCCCAACTTTCCAAACTCTATATTCAATTTTTCAATTCTTTATTCACTCTAACCAGACCACTGGTACAAGAGGTATATATTATATACCGGTACATATACACAAACAGAAATAAAAGTTAAGGGTAAAAAAAATACACAAGAGTATAAAGAACATCACTTTTTGACAGAATAAAATTGATGTTTGCATAGTAGAATAATGCACTGGTAGGCCTTCATAATTATTCTGAAAATCAATAGGGGTCAATCAAGTTTGACGAACTCTTAATATCTATTTGGTCACCGACCAATCCTACTTGTGCAAGCAATTTGCATCGCTTTTTCAAAATTTAGGTCATTAAAAAATATTCAAAGTACTTTTGCACTTATTTAAGTGTTACCTATCCAATGAAATGCTGATACATGCATATATATAACAATTCTAATAAGCATAGTGAAACTACAATGTAATTACCTTTTTTTATGTAAATTATGTCAGATACTTAAAGTTTTATGACGACACCATCCAATCCTATCACAGCAATCAGTGAATGAGGAAAATAACTAGCTACACATTACTTAAAATAATTACCTACCAAAAATAAATTTAACAATGTAAAACCAACTTCCTCTTCAGTAGAACAATCAAATTCAAAGAATTGTGGTCCCCCGCTTTCAGTGTCTCGTTGGATGGTATGCCAATATTTATGGCATATTGTGTCAAATATGACTCCATATCATATGTTATTTAAAATAATCAACCAAGTTCAAGTAATTGAAAATTAGGTCAAAGATAAAGGTCAAGGTCAAAGGGTCAAAATTTATAGCATGTTTGGAAACATCTTGTCATAGAAAATGCACATGTCAAACATATGAAAGACCTATTTCTTCTCAATCCAAAGTTATGGAAAGATAACATTTTTGAAAAGTAGGTTAAACTTCAAGGTCAAAGTCACAAAAGTCTTGTCAAATGTAAAATACATGCATAATATGAAAGCCCTATCTTTTCACTTCTACAGTTGTGGCCAATTTTAATGTTAATCTTTTAAGTAGGTCAAACTTCAAGATCAAGGTCACATGGTCAAAAATCATAGTATATCTGGAAAGGTCTTGTCACAGGTAATGTACATGTGAAATATGAAAATCTTATCTCTTCCAATTCAAAAGTCATGACCATGTAATTATTATGAAAGAATGTATTACCCTGTGTGGGTTCAGCAATATTATACAAGTACGTACTCTCCCTACACACACCAGTATATAAGGTAGGAGTCAGCTTGTTCACCTTAAGATTCTAGCCACACGTCCCAGTTATTCACGCAGAAAAACGAGATCTTCACACCTGATCGTAACACCAATCCAAGCCACACAGCTCACCCAATCTTGCTGAACCGATAGGTTATAATCTTCACCGATAAACAGGGGGTTGTCAGGTCAATTCATAACTCATGTACAAGACATAATTAAGGTTCCCCACCCTCAGTGTTCAGTCAGATATTATTAAGCTTTTCCATCAAATGAAATTATATTAATTATTCCAATGCACTTTATTCTAGCATATACCTTGCAAGGTAAATTTTGACAGAAATGACTTTTTAAGGGAATAATTTTCTAAAGGAACAATAATAATCTCTCAAGTCAGAGATCAATGAACCTGTATTTTCTTTTTAACATTTTTTCTTTCTTTTAAACCTTTATTGATGTATTTCCTTATAGACTCAAACACAGTGTTTTCCCTAAGAACCAGTTTAGAGTCAACAACTGATGATTGAATCAATGTAAACTATACATTTATTTGGTTACTGCAAATTAAATTTGTATCATCCATGCAAATTTGTCACCACACGTCTTATGATTACTCCAGAATTCCAAAACTATAATCCCATACTTCTCCACCATAAAAAATTTTCGGGAGGCTCTGAACTCTGTGATCCTTTCATTTTTGTTAGAATCAACCTTCAGGACAATATGATCTTTAATTTGCAAGTTACAGTACTTCATTATATACAATGTAGTTGTGAATAAGATTTTTTTTAAAATCTAATCCTAGTGACCTTGACCCTTGTCTGACCACCCAATGTGTAGATTTGTTATGCATCCTGAGGTCACCAGCACCCTTTGTGTCTAGTTCAATTATCTTACATTTTTATCTATACTAATAATATCTTAAGCCTGTGATCATGACTTTGTCAAAAGTACTCTGAGTTAGGGCCAGGGGGTCGTAACATAAAGCCTACTTAAGGTCAGACGACACGTTCCTCAAATATATGTTTTGTATCTCTTCGTACTATATAAAAAATGTTCATATATGTCATTTTTTTCTGATTTCTACATTGTTTTCAAAATGTTTTTAAGTATAAGTACACCAAAAAATGGTGATATAGGCAATTCAGAAGATTTCGCATAAGGGTTATATAAGAAATATGACCTTGTGGTATCTTGTTCAAATGCCTGGTAAGGTACCCTTATTTTTTGTTAGGAATCTTATTTAAGTACATATTCTTCAATGACAAATTCTTAGGAAAAATAATATAATTTTGAGGAATGTGTCGTCTGACCTTAAGTCTAAGACCGTGCTTAAGTAGGACTTAAGAACCTGTGAAGCGTGCTAAGATTTGGCATGACTTTAGAGGTGACTTAAGTATATCTTAACTTTCTTGTACATATATTTAGAATTATTTAATGTTGACTTTCGATGTTAAAACATTTCTCTGTTCATAAAATACATTAAAGAAAATAATGATCTCTATTTGACGCTGATTTAAGAATTTTATTTTTTCGTGGGGGAGGGGGGGGGGGGGCTGATCACTGATTCCAATATCACTCCCAACATAGCATACATGTAAATAAAAAAATTAATTTTAGGGATCACTCCCAACACAGCATTCATGTAAATACAAAATTTAATTTTAGGGATACCTCTGAAATTAGTGGGGTCTCTGTTATAGAAATAAATTGAACACAGTAATAAACCGTGGATCTGTATGTTCACTTTGAAAATATGAGTTGAAATAATTTGTTAAAAACAGAAAAGAAAGAGGGTGATGACAGTAACAGTAATATTATAAAAAGTATTCTGTAAAGTATAAAATAAATGTTGTTGCTCATTAAGAGAGAGAGAGAGAGAGAGAGAGAGAGAGAGAGAGAGAGAGAGAGAGATTGCTGATATTTTTTTTTTTTTTTTTTTTTTTTTGAATCCTTGATTAAATTGCAAATGAGTATATCATAAAACTTCTGCAGTTTTTGCTTCTGACATGCATGGCCTGATAATACATACAATGTAGCAGAAATTCAACATGTATTGGACTTTTTAGAGTTTCAATTTTAAGTAGATAAACGGTCGATTATCTTTTCTTGTTTGCGATAATAACAGGGTTGGTTTGTCATTACAAAAGGTAAACTAAAACATCTTGTGATAAAACAATTGTCGTACATTTACAATGAATCACAAATCGCCACCTGTGATTTTCATTCCGAACAATTCATAACATAAGTATAATTTTAATACGAAATCTTAACTTAAACCAATAGGTAAGGACATCAACTTTAATATGTAATTAATTAAAACCCTAGCTAAATAACTTTTAGCAATATATCTATATAAAATCAAAAACCATTGGTCAAAGAGTAATTTATATTGTGCACAACCGACCCTACTTAAGTCAAAAACTTAGCAAGCTTTATGTCAAGTTCTTTAAAAAACACTGGCCTTAAAAAAAAAATATTTTCTGTATTAAAGTTGTTGCTATTAAAATGATATTTTTACTCCCTGTGACCTTGACCTTGTCCAAAACGACCTTGGTATTTGGTATGCTAACTTTGTAATAAGTATGAGCCCCTGGATTTTCTTTACAAAGTTAAGCTTTAATTGACAAGAATTTCCTCTTATTCCTGTCAAAGATAATTTATATGCACAAAATTTTTTTAAGTTTTTAAAAAGTTAAAAAAAAACAAAACACAGCTCTTTTTTTAAAAAAAAAAATCGACATATCTGAATCCAAAAAGAACTACTGCAAAAGTTCAAAAAATATACAGGTATATTAATTAATTCTACAAAGTTTTTAAATTATTGAACTTTGAGAGATTTTCTGATCAAAAATGTTTACAGATACCAGGATAGATAAATACCCGGTATATCAAAATGATGTTTCAAAGATAACCCCCCCTTTCCATACTTTGTTTGCGCAGGTATTAAAAAAACACTTTTTATGTGTACATGTATAAAATAAAGATCAGCCATGTACACTATAGACAATATATACAGCCAAAGAGCTAGGCAATGCAATTCCAATATAACCCCCCAAAAACTTCATTAGGAGGTAATAAAACACATTTTCACTTGTATAAATATAAACACCTCCTATTCAGCACCAAACCAAAGTCTGGCACTATAAATCAGAGTGGCTATCAATCTCTCCCCCTCTACCAGGAAGAGGAAAGTGAAATGTCAGGTCTTATATAAAATAAACTGATTACATACGTACAAGGCAGTAGCTTGTATTGGATATTCACTGGGGTTTGATGTTGCACTTTTGGAGCCCAAATAAATGTTCC